GGTTCTATTCTCTTCCGGCTGCACCTGGGCAGGCTGTGCAGGGACACCTGGGAGCCTCCCATGGTCCTGGCTGGGATGAAGGACTACTGATGTCACCTCCTGCATTCCCTAACTTTGAGGAGAGATTACCCAGATTTAGCATCATTTTCATCCCCAGGACTCTCTAGGGAAGGGAACCTCATAGGCTTGTAGTCATTCATTCATTCACTCACTCATGCACCATTCATTCACCCACCAGCATTCATTGAGCCAAGCGGCACTGTTTGATTGAGAATACTTTAAGTCATTTATACGCCAGTGTCTTATCACCATTTCCCACTTCTAGGCAGTCTGCCGTCCTTGCTCCGAATTCCCTCAAGTGCCGCAACCGGAGGATTCAGGCCTACGTCCTTCCAATCTGTGTCTGGGGGAGAGCAGTTTTGTGTCTTCATCTATGAAGGAGCCCTGTGCTCGGGCACCTTTCCTCTGACTTGCTGGGTCTCTGGGTCTTCAGTGTCCCCCTTGTGACCTGAGGCCACCAGGCAGGAGACAAGGGACTGAGCTCAGGTTATCAAGAGTGCCTGGGAGGCAGCAAGCATAGGGAAATAAAGACACAAAAAGCCCCTAGCTAGACCTCTCTGGCCTCCTCATAGCCTGGTGAGGAGCGTAAACAGCACATCTTCCCTGGGGACCCAGAGCTACAGAGGAACGGGCTGGATGGGGCCAAAGGGATCGGCTTGGCTGGGCGTGGGGCGGGGAGTGGTCGTGGTGACGCTCTGGGCCTGCTGTGAACCAGGGAACTGGAGGAGAAAACAAGTCAGAGGGGAGGAAGGGAGGAAGCAAGAAAGAGAGAGAGGGGGAAAGAGGAGGAGAGAGAAAAGCCATGGATGGGGGGAGAAAGAGACAGAGAGAAAGAAATCAGGAGAAAGAAAAGAGAAAGAAATCAGGAGAAAGAAAAGAGAAAGAGCAAAGGGGAAAGAGAGAGAAGAGAAAGAGGAAGTGTGTGTGTGTGTGTGTGTGTGTGTGTGTATGTGTATGTGTGTGTGTGTTGGGGGGATTGCTGCCCAGGGGTGCCCTGGTTTGGAAATTCTAGGGGGGTTGAAATTCTGGAGTGCGGTTAAATGGCCTCAGGGTCCCAAGAAGCTAACAGCAGGCCGGTGCCAGGCCATAATAACAGCCTCTCTGTGGCCATAACCCGCTCTGGCCTCTGGGCTCCCGGGAACACTCAATTCACACAAGCACAAACTGCAGCCCTGCTTCGGGCCTCGCAGCCTAATAGCTACCGTCGCGATTTCGCTGCACCCACAAGCATCACGGGCAATTAAGAAAGCCGTCCATTGCCATGTGGGCTGCCACTTACGGTCGGTCGGAGCCTGGGGCTCCTCCAGGCCAGTCAGCCCTCTGATGAGACACAAATGATCGGGGGAGGAGTGTTGTTTCCCCCGGGAGGAGGACCCCTGCCATTAGCTGGCAGATCCCAAAGGGAGGCAAACAAAAGCTGCTGTGGGCAGCGGAGAGGGAGGAGGGCACGAGGGCAGGCGGGGGGCCCTGCTTGCACACGCACGCACACCCACACAACCCCACCTACCCAGACCACAGACACGTTGGAGCAAAACACGTGTGGAGTGTTCCTGCACTCACATGCACACACACGCACACGCACACACACACACACACACACACACACACACACAGGCATGAGGACTTTATGCCTATGCCGGCTAACAGTGTGCACATTCATGGGCTCACACAGGCGCATGCACCAAGTGTGTGTATTATAGAGATAGTTATGTATGTAAACTCACTGGCTGCATTCTCACAAATGCAAATGTGTATACCCATGCACATGGATTAAAGCCCGGATACACCCAGGTGCAAACACACAGACACACACACAAACACACCCTTATCTTTTCATCCAAAATCCAAAAGCAAGGCAGTTCCAAAGACCTTTAAAACATGCATACTCTAGGCTTCAGACTTCTTCCAGAGCCACAAACAAGAATGGATTTGGGGACCGGGACTGATGAAGTTGTCCAGCAGAAGATAGAAAAGAGTTGGAAGAGAGCTGCCCTTTCTTTGTTCTGCTTTGAACCGTGGCCAAGGCCATTTAGGTGGTTGAAAAATAATTGCTCGTGGACGGCATCATTCCAGGGCCCTGCCACCGGCCACTTGACCCTGTTCCTGTCCTAAGCTTATGATTTTTAGGCTCTCAGGAAAGGAAATTTCAAAATATTCCTGAAAATGTGCAAACAGCATTCACACTCCTCGTGTCCATGAAGCTCCTCCTGTTTGCTGCCCCGCCGAGCAGCAGGGGACTGCATCGAATGGGTAGAGGGTTGTGTACTGCAACTTGATTTTCTCATTTTTGGAATTGAATTTAGAAGTGTTTTCATCCTTTTCTGAGGTTTGGGATTTTTCCTTTCTCACTGCCTCCCTCACCCCTATTTCCCGCACTGTTATTAGGGAGAGAAAATTGGAGAGAGAGTCCATCTTGAGCACATGTCCCAGAATAACTGTGCTGTGACACACGGGGTGTGAGAGCGAAAAACAGGAAGCCACGCTGCAAGGGCTCGTTCGAAACTGGCAAACTCTGCAGCAAAGTCTTCAGCCAGAAAATCCACAGATGGCAGCCATCTCCCACAACACCACTTCCCTCTGCGTCTGGCTCCCAACGGACGCTGCGATAGGTCCGATCTGCCTCCACGTGGCAAAGGCTGGGACCAGCAGCCTCTGACCACCTTCCACCACCGTGGCCCACGGGGCCCGGGCTCCACTTGGAGCCTGCCAGGGACATTTGTTTTGCAGGCTTTTTGGTAGTTTAGATTTGGGTCAGAAGTAGCTTCAAGCAGCCTGATTGACTTAAGCATTTTCATTGCACCTTTAGCACCCTCCTCACCTCGATCTTTCCACCTCTCTAAATTTTCAATAAAATGTGCTGGAAAGATTGCAGTACTGGAGCGCAGGCTGTAAGAGTGCAGTGGTGAGTGGACAAGATGTTACTGAAGGATGCTGACATCGTCTGCAAGGCTCCTGCAGCTCCTGGGCTGGCACTAAGAGTGGGAAAGAAATGGCAAACGATGCCTTGGGGTGTGGCATCCTCTACACCCCAAGGGTGTGGCTCCTCTACGACAGGAGCTAGTCTGCGGGATTTCCCCAGGAACCATTCTGCTGCTTAGACGCAATGATAAGTATTTCAGTATTTAAAGGGCTGTCCTCACAGACAAGGAATCAGGATTATTCTGTATAGCTGTAGAGGGCTATTATGGGGTGCATTAGTTTATTTTCTCTGCATTAACAAAACAGTGAAAACTTAGTGACTTAAAACAGCAATCATTTATTTGGCTCATAAGGCTGAGAGTCAGCAATTTGGGCTGGGCTCAGCTGGATGGTTCTGCTCACCCAGGCCAGGCGTGGCTGATCTCTGCTGGGGCTCATTCATGAATCTGCCATCAGCTGGCAGCTTGGCTGTGGCCTCTCTGGTCTAGGAAGACCTGAGCTGGGATGACTCAGCTCTCCTCTGCATTTGTTCATCCTCCAGCAGATTATACTGATCTTGTTCTCATGCTGGTGACAGGGCTCAAAGAGAGAGATCCCTTGAAGCCTAGGCCCAGAAATGCATGGCATCACTGTTGGTCAAAGCAAGTCATAAGATCAGTCTTGCAAAATCCCATGTAAAGGGCGTGGATGCAAGGAGAAGTGAAGGAGGGTGGCCACTTTTACAATCTACCACATGGGGGGAAGATTTCAACCTAATATATGAAGCACTTTCTAATGAGTTGAGCTGCTCAGGTGTGGGACAGTCAGATTTGCCTGCCATGGGCCTGCTCTGGAGGAAGGACACCTGTCAGGTGATCAGAATGGGACCACCCGGACTTCAAAAGACCTTCCAACCCCGAGTGTTTATTTACTGGGAATTTATTTTCAACAATTCAGAGTTGAAGATTTTGATAATTAAAGAATTGGAAGAATTAGAATAATTTCCCAAAGTCTTGCTCACCCCAATCTTGGCCACATCCCCTCATCTCCCCCTCCTGCATGCTGACCAGGTTCCTCTCTTTCCCATTCCCCCACGCCCCTGTACTGCAACCCCAGGCCTGGCCTTGCCCACTTCTACCTGTAATCACATCCACCCACCTGTGCTCTGTGTTTGGTTGGGTTTGGGGAGCAGAAGACAAAGGATAGAGCACACCCCAAAAGACAAAGGCTGCTGGACTCCGAATTTATATTATAGTCTCTAAAGAATGATGTGTGTTGGAGAAGAAAAAGGAAACAGCATGAGCATACTTTTCAAAGAAACGCACACGTGCAGAGAGTGGAAAATAAAAGAAGCCAACAGCCCAAACTGGGGTTGGTTCTGAAGGAGGGAGATGTAAACTTGAGCCCCAGAGCTGGAGCCAAGACAGGAAGTGGGCTTGGCCCGCACGAGGTGCATATGCTGCCTGGAAAACCACCCTGAGCCCGGCTCCCTCTCTTCCTAATTCCCCTTGGCTTCCAGCCCCTTCTGACCCTGGGGACAATGCGGCTCTGTGCTGAGACTGTGCCTTTTGTGATGGCCGGAGAGAGGAAGAAAGCAGAAGCCGGTCTGGGCATCTGGGTGTGTGAATCACCGCGTCACATGGCCAGGCCGGCTGCAGCAGCTCCCCGGGTCTGCACAAGGGCACTCGGGGAGCGTGGCCCGAGCCCATGCCTGGAGGCTGGTCAGACAGCTGCAGGGTGCCCTGCTCTGAACCCCACAGCCAGGGACAGGATGCAGGAGGGGGAGAGTCTGGTACAGTGAGGGCCTTTGAGGACACTCTCGTGGGGCAGCCTCTGGGGCCCTGACATCTCCCTCCTAATCCCAGATCAGTTGTGGATCTGAGTCTGATGCTCTGAAAAGTCACAGAGTCCTGCTTCATCCCTGAGACCTGCAGGGCCCTGGCTCATCCCTTCACTCAGGCAGGGCACGCTGCCCCAGCTTGGGGGCTTTCCCCAAGGACTAAAATATGTCCAGAGTGTGAAGAAATCACCTTATTCTGGAGCAGAGAGGATTCAGCAAGTCGGACACGAGCCAGAGCTGTTCTGTTTTCTAGAACCTTCTAAATCCTGGCTTCCGAGTGAGAAGTGAGAGACCTTAAGGCTGGCTCCTCAGAGGGCAGGTTGGAAAATGGCCGGCATCAGGATGGGAGGAAGATGAGGCCAGGCACCGAAGGAGCCCTGCATTGTTTGAAGACAGAACAGATTGCTGGGGGTGGGGCAGTCCTCGCCCCTGTTTCCACCTGGAGAGGGTGTGGCCTGCGTGGACGCAGGGGGATGGGTCCCATGACCCCCGGCAGTCTGTAGCAGCCTGAGCCAGCCCGGCAGAGGTGCCTTCTCCCAGGAGTCCTGCAGAGGGCAGTGTGGGACTGCGGCCAGACTTTGCTGCCTCATCAACTTTTCTTCCCACTCCACCGCCCTAGTCCTAATCTTTGAAAACCAAAGCTGCTTAGACACAACCTGAGCACTGCTTGAATGACATGGATGTAGCCTGGTGCTCTGGGCCCCGTTTGCTGAGAGAACCCCCAGCCTTGGATCTGCTCAGGGAGCTTGCTGAACTCTACCTCTGCCGGCTCCCAGAGCTTTGGGGCAGAGTTTGGTTGTACACAGGTAGAGCCTTACAGTTTTCAAAACACATTCGCATCTGCTCCTTGAAACTGTTCTGAGAGGTAGATGGGGTGCTCCTTTTATGAGAGAGCTGAGACCTAGGGAGATGGGAAGTGCTAGCCTATGGGGGCCCAACTGGTGTGCAGCAGAGACTAGTGGGGGACCCAGGTCTTCTAACCCTCACTCCAGTGCTCACCCTTTGTGATGATCCTGAAATCCAGCCAGCGTCACTCTCCACCTCCTAACAGACCTCCCCTCTCTTCATGGTTCTGTTTTCCCCCAGGTGAGAGGGGTGAAGGTGCCTCCACTCGTCTACCCCATCCTATGCTCCTTGCTCGTAAATTGCATAACCTTAGGTGAGTCGCTCCCCCTCTGTGGCATTTGCTTTTTCCAGGAGGAATATGAGTGTGTTGGGTCAGATGGTCTCCAGGGTGGCTTGGAACCTTGGCCTTCCATGGGACTGTGTTTTTTGGGCTGTGTCCCCAGTCACAAGTTCCCTGATCACATTGAGGAATAAAACCTGTGGAAGGGTGGTAAGGTGCTGACCTGCGTGAATTCTGAGTCTGACGACATTCTTTACATTTCAACTGGTTGTTTTCATGTGGTAGATGCAGCCTTGCTCCTCAGGGTTTAGGAGAGTCAGATCAAGCGGGATGCCCTCATGTGGACAAATGACATGGACAGGGGCGTCAGTGAACACAAGTGACAACAACTGTGCCCAGCAGAGCTCCACACTGGGCAGCTCGCTGTCGGATGCTGGGGGTGACAGTACGTTCCTTCAGGGGTCTTGCTCGCTCCGCTCAGGCTCCAGAGGCCATTTATAGCCCCCGAGGTTTGGAGGTGGCACAAGCCCCGTGTCTGTGCTCAACACTCACCTCAGCATACCTGCTCTTCTCCAAGAGGAGGATGTAGGAGAAATGAAGAGGCAACCCCCCAAACACACCCACTGCCAAACTGCCAAACCTGCAAGATATACTTGGGGTGTCTGGGATGGGAGGAGTGGAAGGACAGAGCCCCACAGAGAGAGCCTTAATGTTAGAATTCCTTTTGAATGTCATCAGCCATCATTCACTGAGGACTACGTATGTGCCAGGCGTTATGTACCTCCAACCAAGTGAAATGACTAATATTTTCATTTTGCAGATGAAGAAATTGAGGCCCAGAGAATTTGTATAACTAGTCTAAGATCACACAGCTCAACAGAGCTAGAGTTGGGGCTGCAAAGCACACACCCTTGATCCCTCCTCTAAGCTGTGTCCATCCTCCTGGGATTGGATCGTCTTCCCTGTTCTTTGCCTAGGACATAGGACATGCCACCTTGTAAGTATGAGTGTATTAAGCAGAGCAGGGGGTGCTGGTGGTAAATTCCTAAGATGAGAGAGGTGAGGCCTGGAAAAAGTCAATGACTTGCTCAAGGCTCCACACCTCGTTGGTGACTAGCCTAGAACAGGAATCCAGGTCTCCTAACTCCTGGTTATGGTGGCCTGTTCACCATGCCAAGGCCTCCAGGAAGAGAGCCCAGAGTTGGCCAGAGGACCCAAGGACCCTGGCTTCCCAGCCATAGGGGTCTTGGCCTGTGGGTACTTTGAACTACTGGTGGTTCCATGCAAATCTTTGCTCAGGTGCCCTGCCCTGCTCTCTGCCAGGAATGGCCCGGGATCTCAGTTCTAATGCAGGGTCAGAGGGGAGATTCTGTGGGATTCATCCCAGGGACTTAGAGCCTGGTGTGGGGAGACAGGGACATCCCATAGAAAGCATAGCTGTGCACCGTGTCAGGGCTGAGAGTCTGGGGACAGAGCAAAGCTTTATGCTGCAAACAGAGCTGCCACCAAGCCATTGTTGAAGCCCTGCTGTCCCGGGGCAGCTGGAGACAAGGAGCCGCCATGGCAGGGAGCCTCTGGTGAGGGTTTAATGTCATTTGCATGGCTCTCATATCACACAGGCATGGAGTGGCTTAGATTTCTGAGAAACCATTCTACCCAGTCTGGATAGCTTAAGGGAAGCCTTTTCTGGAGGCAGGGATCCAGACATATGATTTTGAGAGAATTTCTTTCTATCTTAGTTTTTTTTCCTTGCTCTAGTTTTGCTTTTCTGTTTAAATGCCTGTAAGGTAAAACTTCAACTATTTACCTTGACAATAAGGCTACCTCTTAGCTCATCTCTGCTACTCCCTTCCTCTGGCCCTGTCCTTTCTCTTGTTTCTATTTCCTAACCCCATTGAACAGATGTGTCATCTTGAGCCAGTCTCTTGCATTAGAGGCTGTCATTGCTAGAGCATGAGCCACCAATAGACCTGAGTTCGAATCCCAGTGGGTAGGTTCCAGCTGGATGTGTGAGCTTGGGCAAATCATACAATCTTTCTGAACCTTGATTTCCTCCCTTGTGACATGGGGATGATGATATCTAACTCTCCTAGGTGTTGTGGGGATGTGTGAATGAGGGCCTGTAAGTTCTTAGAACAGTAGAGAGTCTCAGAATCTGCTGGAATGAGGCAGTTTGATGAGTGAGAAAAAGAGAAACTACTGCACGTGGAGAAGATGAGATTTCTGAGGTGGGTTTTAGTCGCAAAGGAGTTGAGTTCCTGCAACTTGACGTGTGAATCTATAGACTAGCAGAGATGGCCTTGGCACATCTGTGGTTAATGCCTGTCCTAGAATGGGAGTTTGAGTGCATGGTGACAATGGCAGTTGGTGTGACAATGTGGGGTAAAGGATGTGCCTGAGAAGTTTCCCCAGAGTGGAGGATTCGGTGCAATTCAAGCCCCCGAGGTGGCAGGAAGCTAGAAGACAAGATGGAGGTGGCATAAGAAAGGCCTGGTGGGCTGGAAGATGGAGCCGTGTGGCCTTTGACCCTGTGCGAGTAGAGCAGTGTTTAATGGTCTTTTAAAGGAACGTCAAGCAGGTGGAGGAGGCTGGGAGCTGCAGTGCGTGGAAGCTCCCTCCGGGGAAGGCTTTGGCTGAAGGGAGAGAGAGAATTCAGCAGCGTCCAGGGAGGGTGGGGTGGGCAGGGGCGTGCGGGATAACAGGATTCTACCAGCTTCTGCTTATGAGCGCTCCCCAACCTTGCAGAGCTTCTCGAAATGGCTTATTTGTTTAAGTTTTCATTGCTTTGATGTTTCAGACAGCAGCCCTGAAACCAGCATACCAGACCCTACTCGGCCTCCACAAACGCCGAGCGCCAGATGATCTGTGTCTGGATGCCACGCCCCCCGCCCCCACTTCCTGCTGCCTGGGCGGATGGGTAACCGGAAACGCCGGAGGGTCCTCTCCGGAAGTGAGCACCGTGGGTGCGGCAGGGGCGGTGGGGGCTGTTGGCGACGCGTGCACCAGCTCCCCTGCGCCCAGCACATCTGGTGGCCATGACCTTCTCACAGCCTCCGGGCGTGGCTGCTATGGAGAGGAGGAGACGCAGTGACTGGTGTCTCGCGTTAGCATCCTGTGTCCCTGTGTGATCTTCGCCATTTCTAAGAACTCATGCGAAGCCATGTGGGCCTGGGATGGGTTTGCCCAGGAAGATGAAGACTGAGCGTTATTCATTTAGGTTTGATTTATTTGGTGGGGATTGATTTCTTAACACCTCTCAGAAGTCCCGTAAGCATTGGAGTCCCGTTACCCTGTGAAGGAGGCACATGGAACCCTTCTCTTGTGCGTAGGACTCCAAGGAGACTTTGCGTGTTGTCATCCCACTACTGTTTTCTTCCTTATCTGGTAAAGCAGGGAGAGTTTGGCCACCTCTGGGCACTTGTCTGGGCCTCTGCTCAAACTGTAGTATTACTGCTCACTTCTACCTACCAGGTAGAACCCTACCAGGTAGCAGCCTTGTAAAGGGTGTGGTGGGATTGGAATTCCAGGATGTAGATTCAAGTGCTGGCTTTGCCACAGCGTTCAGCTCATTCATCCATCGAAGTAGGAAAAATAATAAAATCTACTTCGAAAGTTTGTTGTGAGAATTGAAAGAGATTATGCATGTGAAATGTAAAAGGAAGGAAACCAAGGGCACAGATGGAGCTCTTTGAAAAATGTGTCATTTTTTCCACCTGGGCCCCGTGGGTCTTCTGTATTTTGGGTTTGGAATCTCAATCTGAGAATCTCCCATGTTTTTCTTGGGTGGTTTTCTGCGGACCAAGCAAACACAACCCTGCTCATGTGTACACCACTCGTAAATTATACACACACATCACGTGAATTGGAAACATCCAACTTAAAAATGGGTGTTATAAGACTAACCAGTGGCACAGGTCCTTGTACCACTTTGGATCTCACTGAAAGAATTCCTGGTCCAAAGGCATCTGAAATTGACCCAAAGTCGGCTTCTAATGCCTCCTTTTCTTGCCTGGGGGATGGCAGGGAGGGAGATTTTTGGTATTTTTAGAAGATTACTTCTAATTCTTGTTTATTTACTGCGGTGGACTCTCTACTCTGCCTCCTTCCTACTCTTTTTTTCTATTAACTGACAATGATTAAGTTTTATCTTATCTCACAAATACAACCAAAAGAAAAGGAATTCTTATGTTACTGTTATCAAAGTCAATGAAAAAGATATCAAGTAAACAGGCACTCAGGGCTTGGTGAAAGTATAATTTGATCTAAACCTACTGAGAGGCAATTTGGCAGATATGTCAAAAAATTAGTAAATATTATATAGTAATTTCATATGTAGGAATATATCCTAAAGAAATGACCAGGCAAATTCACGTAGTTGTATATGCAAGATAGAGAGTATATTATGGTGTTGTTTGTAATACCAAATACTGGAAACAGTAAATATTCAATTACAGAGATTTGTTGAATAGGCGATGGTGTATCCATGTGAGGATATGCTATATTGCCATTTAAAGTAATAACCTAGATTAGATGTTATTGATATAATTGAAAGCAAAAAGTGTTACAAATATGTGTGATTCCATTTTTCATAAAAACAAAGCATTAATAAGTGCATGGAAAAAATCTGGATTATATGCATGTCGTATGGGAGGGGGAATTGAGGGAAATTTTAAAAAAGCTTTTCCATTTAATTGAATTTTGATTTCTTTCCTACAACGAACAGATATTGCTTTGTTAACAAGGAATCCCACATATTTTAAATAGAATCAAGACTGTTAACTTTGACTTAAGAAGTACTCAGAAGATATTTCCATCAGAATTTCAAAGTCTCTCTTACTCTCTCCCTTGTTAAATGGAATTTACTTCCCAAGATTCTAGAAATGTAAAAACCGAACAAAATTATTTCTTAAGCAACATTATTAATTAACCCTGTGCTGAATTGCTAATGTTGCCAATGGTATTATTGTCTACTATTTTTTGTGGCTGCATTTCTACTCCATTTGGGCCGAAGGGAAGTTGAAGAGGGCTTCTTAGTCCTGTTTTCATTTCTGTATGACTGTCCTCTCCAGCTGCAGCTTTGGAGAGGAAACAAATACTGAAACTCCATCAGGGAGGCAGCTGTATGTGTCCCATTCAGTCTGGCTGGAAGGACTCGCTCTTGGAAACTGACCGAAGGGCAGAAGCTCATTTCCTGTCCCTTGGCGGCCTGCCAGCCTTGCCACCCTGTCTCCACTTCCTCGGCTCCCTCTGAGCCCTGTTCTTGGAGGCTTTTGGAATTGGGTTTGGGGCACCTGTAGCATAGCTCTCTTTCCCAAAGGGGGTTTAATTTGTCCCTGAGAAATGAGTCAGCACACAGAGCCTCGAGCTGTGAGACTCTTCCATTCTGGGATCTGGAATCTTCTGGACAGCTCAGAAAGGCTTGTTTAGGACAGCTCAGAAAGGCCCAGGATGGGGCATTTCACTTTCCGGCTTGGTTAGGCACGTTTGCCAGAGCAGGCAGAGCTGTCTTGTTAAAAACAGGAAGATGCACTGGGGAGGAGTTTCCATGCTGGAATGAGAGTGTAGCCTGCTCTCCAGCTATCCTGGCCCACACCATTGTGTAAGTCCGTTATCTGAGCACTGTTGACACTCTGGGTTTCATCTGGGGCTTGTCTGTGCAGGAGGTGAGGAGGAGGATGGGGCAGTAAGCTGAGAGATTGGGGTGAGGAATTCGAACAATTAGGGCAAGCAAACACAGCATAAGATAAAACTGGAGATGGAGTGCGGTGGACCATACTCAGTTCTCCAAACTGCTAAAGATTGACTGAGACCCGGGGAAAGACTGCTGGTGGTGGGGAGGTTCCTAACCCTGGTTGTCCATCTGCTGAAGAGAGCAGAATAAGATGCCAAGAAGAAATCCCTGTCTCTAAAAGTCATGAGACTTTGCAATCAGTGTCTGATGGAATTCTATCTCTCAGGTTTTTTTTTTTTTTAATTGGGAAGAGGAAAGATTCCTTCCTGGCAAGGCTAGTTTCTTTGTCACCCTGCAAAGAGGTAGAGGTTTAATGAAAAGACACAGGGCAGAGAACACTAGTTGCCATGTTGGCTGCCTGTCATCCCAACCTCTTCTATCCTAGAAGAATCCACCACTGTTTGAGTCTAGGGGATGGAAAGCAGTCTCTCTCTCCCTTTCCTACAGAGGAAGCTCGAAGGTCAGACTCCTCCTGGAATCTTGGAGGTGAGGTTATAGCCATGTGACTCAAAACAGTTCTATCAAATGTCCCAACTAGAGGACTTTGAGTCTCAAGAAGTTTGACAGAAGGAATCTGGGGTAGTGTAGGACTCAAACTGCTGGTGGTAACACCCAGGATCCAGGGTCTGATGGTAGTGATGCAGATGCTGGTAGAGGTGGTGTCCCAGGTCAAGTGGCAGTGGGAGTGACACCCTAAGCAGGTGGTTTCTGGGGCGTGAAACCACCATGGCTGGTCTCCCTTAAGAGTGGGGTTTTCCATACTTCCTGTTGATTCTGTGAACTACCCAATGTTGTTCCATTAAATTCCTTTTCTGAACAAGAAATGAACAGAATGACCTTTAGTTGGTTTCTATTATTTGTAACCAGGCCCCCTACTAAGATGACCCTGAAAGTCTTAATCTGTTTGGGCACATAAACTTGACTTACCGAATGAAAATATATCTTAATGATTATTTGCTTTCCTTCTAGATGTCCTCCTGGGGAGAACTTATCATGGAAAGCTCTGATTCTACCCTGTCTTCCAGTGTGTACGGTAGGCTTTAGAGGCTAGATGTTAGGAATGTTTTAGTGGTGGAAGATGTCTTTATGTAATAGGAATGGGCTCATCTTAACTTGTTATCGTTACTGACCCCACTCCAAACAGGAATTCATAGAAATTGGCCATGTGCCAATCAGAGTCCCTGACTTCACCTAGCATGCAGCAAAAAGGTAATTCAACCAAAGAGATACATTAGCTTCCACTTTTTTTGGATAATAATATCTTATATTTGTGCAATGCCTTTGGCTTTAAAGACCTCTGTCTAGTCTAATCTCTCATCTGATCAGGGAGGGAGGTGAGAATGGACTAGTCGTTGTTATTAACCTCTCTGAGTCTCAGTTTCTTCATCTATATAATGGGACTGGGTGTGAGAGACCAGGTCTTGTATGTAAGCTCTGTTCTTTATCCTGCTTGGCCACAGTCAGTACGGGGCATACATATTCTGTATCTACCAAGCTAGAAATCCAAGGAAAATTACACTCGAAGAAATTGAATGGATGCACTTTCTCAGAAAGTGGTACGCTCAATTCTCCTGGCTGTAGGGAGGAGAAGACAACCAGAATTGATGCCACAGAGCATGGCTGTAGCTCCTGCTTTCTCCTGCCTTCTTCATCCCCTCCTTTAATCCAGTCTGTTCGCAAACCTGCTCCCTCTCAACTGTGTCCACTGCTGTCTTCCTCACCACTCTAGTCCCAACACCTAGAGCCATCCTTGGCACACTTTGTTATCGAACAAGATACTTAACCTTTCTTCTCCCTGCTCTTGCTAGAGTTGCTGATGAACTTGGCATTGGGAAAGAGGTGCATGGAGGGTATGGGGATGGAAGAAAGCATGTCTTTGGAGCAGACTGGCCTTGCTTAACAGCGCAGATGGACTTCTTTCTCAGTGTACCGGAGGCAAATGACTTAGGATATAGCTGGAGCTTTTGTGGTTTTAAGTGACAGAATCCCAGCTCAGAGGGGCTTAAGAACCAAAGGGAATTTGTTGGATCACGTGTCCAGGATTGATGAGGTAGAGCTCGCATTGAGCTTGTCTGATTCTGGGATATCAACACTCTCATTAGCCTGCTTTTTTCAGTTCT